TGGGGGTGGGGTGGGGTGGGGGCGTCGGGAAGGGCCAAGGGAGGTGTGAGCTGTCTGCAGGGGCGACTTCCTGGTCGGTCTGTGGGTGCAGGGGGTGCTGCCGAACATGTGTGATTCGTGCCTTACGGGCCCTGGCCTCCGGGGTGCTGGGTAACGAGGAGGGGCGCGGAGCCGCAGAAGCCCACCCTGGTATGTTGACGCGGTGCCAGCGAGACCGCGAGAGGAAGACGGGGTGGGCGGGGCCAGGATGGAGAGGGGCCGAGTTGGCAGGAGTCATGGCAGACGCCACATTCGCGATATCTCCCCCACACCCCCCTCTGGCTCTGTCCGCAACATTTCCAAACAGGAGTCCCCGGGAGAGGGGGGAGAGGGGCTGCTGGCCCGAGGCTAAGAAGGGCAGAGCCTTCAACCCAGAGAGAGGCCAGGGCCCCTGCCCAGTGGGCAGCGTGGAAGTTTCCATACAAGGAGGTGGGAAGGAGACCCCCCCTTCACTGCCCTGTGCAGAGATGAGCTGGGGGTGCAGGATGGGAGCCCATGGCACTTCGCTACGGGATGGTCCAGGGCTCGCGGTTGGGGGTGCAGGAGAGAAGAGACTGGCTGGGAGGAGGGAGAGGGCGGGAGCAAAGGCGTGGGGGAGTGGTCAGCAGGGAGAGGGGTGGGGGGTAGGGTGGAGCCGGGACTGGGAGGAGTCGGCTCACACATAAAAGCTGAGGCACTGACCAGCCTGCAAACTGGACATTAGCTTCTCCTGTGAAAGAGACTTCCAGCTTCCTCCTCCTCTTCTTCCTCCTCCTCCTCCTGCCCCAGCGAGCCTCCTGCTGAGCTGTAGGTAACCAGGACTGTGGACTGAGGACACCCGCTGCCATCCCACTCCAGCCTGAGGCAGGGCAGCAGGGGGCACGGCCCACGCCTGGGCCTTGGGCCCTGCAGCCGCCAGCCTGCTGCCTCTCGGACAGCACCCCCCTCCTCTCTCTTCCTCTGCCCCTACCCCCACCTGGTCTCTGCTTCCTCACCTGCTCCTTCCCTTTCCGTTCCTTCCCTTCGGCCCCCTGCTTGCCCAGGTCAGGGCTTTTCCTGGGCCCTCACCTGCTCCGCACCGCGGCAGGCATGCTTCCTGCCCTGCTTTCTGCCGGGCCCCTGACCCGGACCTCCAAGTTCGGAGTGGTGGGGCTAGTTGTGGAACCGCGGCGAGGGCTTGAGTGGCCAGCTGGCCCAGTGTGCTCTTATAATTTGGAAGCGGGTGGCAGAGGGGGCGGTGAGGGGACTGGCTAGGGTCCAGTCAAGGAGATGACCAAGGAGGCTTTCGGATCCTCGGTGCGGCTGCCCACTGCTCTTTAGAGAGGGCATGCAAACTTGTGCTTCTGTCCCATTGCCTGCTCAGTCGCTCACATAATTTATTGCATCAAAAACTCGCCTGGGTCTGTGGAGGGAAGGCTGGGGCTGCCCGCCTGGAGGGCTCCACCTTCTGCAGGGGTAGGGCCAACTTGCTGTGGTGGCCCCCGGCCTCCCACCCCGGAGTTGGTTAGCGGCCCTGTGGCCCTGCAGCCTGTGGAGGGGGTGTGTCCTAAGACTGGCCTCCCCTTCCAGATTGCACTCAGGGGAACCTGTTGTCTGACTTCCCAGGTGGCCTGAGCTGGTCTCTCCAACTCTCAGGGGGAGAGTTTGGTAGCGCAAATGGGGAGATGTTCTGGAGGCCCCGGCCTTACTGGTTTGATTTGAGGCCTGGAAAGGAGGCTCTGGGCTTGTGTGTGTGTGTGTGTTTGGAGGTACCCATAGCAGACTGGAGTTGGAGAACTGGGTGACTGGGAAAACAAGGTTTCTAGAAGCATGGGTGGTGTGGTTGTGCTAACCACTGGAGTTCTGAGCCAGGCCTGGCTCAGCGGCAGACTGGAAAGGTGGAAAAGCCAGGGGAGGGGGCGGGACTGGCCCAGCGGGACCGGCCTGCCGCTTTGAGGGGGATGGTCCTCCTGGACCCCCCCTGCTCAGCTGGGGGTTGTGGGGAGGAAGGGACTGGTCCTCCTGGATGCACATGCTCTGTGGGGTGGGGTTGTCTGCCATCTTGGCTGGCGCTGGAGGCCTGAGACGTGGTGATGGGCCCCTGGGCTGGCCCTGCCCCCATGGTGTCATAAGACGGAGGCCAGGTCGGGTGTCCAGCCCGGGCCCCTGCAGCTGTGGGTGCCGCCGAGCTCCTGCAATAATGACCACGGAGATGGTCACTCCTCGTGTAAAATTACTAGTGCTTCTTGCAAATCGAAGGAACTGGGCCCTTTCTGTGTGATTCCAGACACTTCATTCTCCAAGTGGCCCTGCACCCTCAACTCAGCATTGTGACCTATGTGTTACTTTTGTAATGAAAATAATGTTTATAGGAAAGCCATGCTTTAAATTTTTAATTGAATTTGTAGGTTGGCCAACGGCCTCTGGTTTGGGAGGGGCACCTTTGGCCTGGGGCTTGGCCTGGCTGCCACGCTCACACCACTTCTCTCCTGCCCCCAGATACCAATGGGAATCCCAATGGGGAAGTCGATGCTGGTGCTTCTCACCTTCTTGGCCTTCGCCTCGTGCTGCATTGCTGCTTACCGCCCCAGTGAGACCCTGTGCGGCGGGGAGCTCGTGGACACCCTCCAGTTCGTCTGTGGGGACCGCGGCTTCTACTTCAGTAAGTAGTTGGGAGGGGCTTCCTCAGACCCGGTCAGGCCCCTAAAGTGACAGGTGAGGACACCCAACCTCAAGCCAGGGGAGCACACTCCTAGGTCAGCGGCCCAGCCCCCTGCTCGGAGACTCCGACCTTCCAGCTGCGTTTCTGAGAACCTGCAGGGTCCCAGGGCATCCACACCAGCTGACTTTCCCTTCACAAGCCTCCTTCGAAGGGTGGGCCAGAGGTGTCCCCTAGACGTCGGGAGCACTTACGGGGGTCTCCCTTGGGGTCAGAATTTCTGTTGGGGGCTGTGAGCTCCCGCTGCGGAGGCGCCGCACCCCTAGGGCAGGGCTTCAGGCTCTGGAGGAAGAGCTTGCCTTTCTTCCTGCACCTTTTGGACATTTTGACAAAGGATGTGCGTTCAGTGAATGATCAGAATTAAAATCAGTAAAGTGATTTATAGAATTAAAATCAATAAAACAAGTGCAGTTGGTGGGTGGCAGGGGTGAACGGTGCATGCGCCTCCTTGGGCCCCAAGGCCGCCATGGAGGGTGCCCACCTGCTGACCTCAAGGACGATTCAGCCTTTCCTCATGTTTCTCTCATGGTTTTCCAGCCTAGGGGTTGGCGGGTGGGTGCACAGCTCATTGTGCTTGAGACCCCGCCCCCAGATGGGGGGCTGGGTGGATGCAAAGGCAGGCATGGTGCCTAGGCATGCCTGATGGGGCAGGGGAGGGGCCACTTCTCGCTGGCCGGGACCACACGGCTTATTCCACCTGACACTCACCACGTCTCATCTTTACCACTTACTACTTACTCACGCTGTGCAATGGACTCACAGGATGCAAATGCACTTCAAAGCTTCTCTCTTAAAAGTTCCTGCTGCTTGACTCTGGAAGCCCCTGCCCGCCCTGGCCTCTCCTGTGCCCTCTCTCTCGCCTGTCCCATTTGGGGATAGGAAGTGGCACTGCAGGGCCTGGTGCCAGCCGGTCCTTGCCCAGGGAGAAGCTTCCCTGCACCAGGCTTTCCTGAGAGGAGGGGAGGGCCAAGCCCCCACTTGGGGGACCCTGTGATGGGGCTCCTGCTCCCTCCTCCGGCTGATGGCACCTGCCCTTTGGCACCCCAAGGTGGAGCCCCCAGTGACCTTCCCCTTCCAGCTGAGCGTTGCTGTGGGGGAGAGGGGGAAGACGGGAGGAAAGAAGGGAGTGGTTCCATCGCGCCTCCTCACTCCTCTCCTCCCGTCTTCTCCTCTCCTGCCCTTGTCTCCCTGTCTCAGCAGCTCCGGGGTGGTGTGGGCCCCTCCAGCCTCCTAGGTGGTGCCAGGCCAGAGTCCAAGCTCAGGGACAGCAGTCCCTCCTGTGGGGGTCCCTGAACCGGACTCATATCCCACACATTTTCCAAATCACCCCAGTGTGGGCCTTTGGTCCTGGTGGTGTCTGTCTGGCCATGGGACCAAGAGCTTGTGCCCATTTTTCATCTGAGGAAGGAGGCAGCAGAGGCCACGGGCTGGTCTGGGTCCCACTCTCTTCCCCTCTCACTTCTCTTCTTCCTGGGACGCCTCTGCCTGCCAGCTCTCACTTCCCTCCCCTGACCCGCAGGGTGGCCTCGTCTTTCCAGAGCCTGGCCTGAGGGCAGGGGTGGTTTGCTCCTCCTTCGGCCTCCTGGGGCAGGGGGCAGCGCGGTGCTAACATGGCTCTCTCTGTGCTGTGGGACTTCCAGGCAGGCCCGCAAGCCGTGTGAGCCGTCGCAGCCGTGGCATCGTTGAGGAGTGCTGTTTCCGCAGCTGTGACCTGGCCCTCCTGGAGACGTACTGTGCTACCCCCGCCAAGTCCGAGAGGGACGTGTCGACCCCTCCGACCGTGCTTCCGGTGAGGATCCTGGGCCCCTTCCCCACTCTCTAGAGATAGAGAAATAGGGTTTCGGGCGCCCAGCATTGCCTGTGGCCTCTGGGACCCCTTGGCCAGGGACAAGGACCCGTGACTTCCTTGCTTGTTGTGTGGCTGGGGAGCAGTTCAGACGCTGGCTCCTTCTGTCCCCCTGCCTGTGGACGTTAGCTCGAGTCGCTGATCAGTCACGGGGGTGACCTGTCAGGTCAGGCGGGTGGCTCGGGCGGAAAAGCGTGGAGAGCAGGCACCTGCTGACCAGCCCCTTCCCCTCTCAGGACAACTTCCCCAGATACCCCGTGGGCAAGTTCTTCCGATATGACACCTGGAAGCAGTCCACCCAGCGTCTGCGCAGGGGCCTGCCTGCCCTCCTGCGTGCCCGCCGGGGTCGCGTGCTCGCCAAGGAGCTCGAGGCATTCAGGGAGGCCAAGCGTCACCGTCCCCTGATTGCTCTGCCCACCCAAGACCCCACCCACGGGGGCGCCTCCCCAGAGATGTCCAGCAATTGGAAGTGAGCAAAACTGCCGCAAGTCTGCAGCCGGCACCACCACCCTCCAGCCTCCTCCTGACCAGCGACGTTCCCATCAGGTTCCATCTCCAAAATCTCTCGGTTCCACTTCCCCCCCAGGGCTTCTCCTGACCCCAGCCCCCGTGCCCCGCCTCCCCGAAACAGGCTACTCTCCTCGGCCCCCTCCATCGGGCTGAGGTCCACAGCAACATCTTCAAACATGTACAAAATCGATTGGCTTTAAACACCCTCCCTCCAAATTATCCCCAATTATCCCCACACATAAAAAATCAAAACTTTAAACTAACCCCCTTCCCCCCCACCACAACAACCCTCTTAAAAATAATTGGCTTTTTAGAAACACCAGAAAAACTCAGAAATTGGCTTTAAAAAAACAACAACCAAAAAAAAAAAAAATCAATTGGCAAAAAAAAAGTATTAAAACGAATTGGCTGAGAAACAATTGGCAAAATAAAGGAATTTGGCACTCCCCACCCCCCTCTTTCTCTTCTCCCTTGGACTTTGAGTCAAATTGGCCTGGACTTGAGTCCCTGAACCAGCAAAGAGAAAAGAAGGGCCCCAGAAATCACAGGTGGGCATGTCGCTGCTACCGTCATCTCCCTTCTCATGGGAATTTTCAGGGTAAACTGGCCATCTCAAAATAGCAACAACCCAGACTGGCTCCTCACTCCCTTTTCCATCACTAAAAATCACAGAGCAGTCAGAGGGACCCGGTGAGACCAAAGGAGGGGAGGACAGAGCATGAAAACCGAAATCCATGCAAATAAAATGTAATTGGCACAACCCCACCCCCAAATCTTATATCTCAATTCCCATCCTAAAAAGCACTCATACCTTATGCATCCCCGCAGCCACACGCACGCAACACACAGCACACACACACACACACACAGCAAACACACACAGCATACACGCACACACAGCACACACACGCACATGCGCACACACAGCACATATGCACACACAGCACACACAGCATACACGCACACACAGCACATATGCACACACAGCACACACAGCATACACGCACACACAGCACACGCACACAGCACACA